GGTGGAACATCACACTGGACTCGATTTCATGCACAGCAGCAAAGACTGCTACTAGCACCCAGGTTCTAGTAGGTACCTGGGTAGCTTAGAGGTACCTTTAGCTAGAATCACACCTTTGGCTACAATATCACATGGAAAGGTCTTTATTCATCTCTCTCTACCACACTAGTAGAAATATGCAGAAAGAAATTCCCCTATCCCAGCTGTGTATTTCTGTCTACTTGTCCCTTCTGCTGAAAGGCTCACAAAAACTTGAATCAGTTTTTGCCTTTCAAAGCATCAAAGCCTCCTCTGACTAAAATAAAGGGAGGAAGAAAAAAAAATCTAGGCTACTATACTTCATCTTTGTCTGGAGAAAAGAGCCTGAAGAAAAACTAGTTTTAAGATTTGTTGGAAACCAGTTTGCTAAAAACACTGCACTTTTACCACCAAAAAAAAAAAAAAAAAAAAAAAACCAGCCGGATGGCTTTTTTTTTTTTATCAGATATGCAATGGGTTGTCACACAGCAAAAGACTAATGATGGAAAAGAAGGAGGTTTCTGAAGAACACAGCAAAAATTGTTAAATGCTTATTTGAATTTCATCGGGACTCAAGTTCATATGATCAGGAAAGATGAGAAAGTGATCCCTCTTATCTATGAGATGAGGAAACCATGTGGAAGAGCCAGGGCCTAGATACCATTTGAACAGAATGCTGAGTATGACTGATAGCAAACAGATCTCTAATACTTTTGGAAGCTGAATGTCTCTGTGCGCATCAGCTTGTATAGTTCATCAGGGTCATCTAAAATTTCATCTGTTAAGATGTTCTGTAAGCTGCTAGATGCAGATACGTGTCAGATGGTATTACATGCACTCACTCCATGACCAGATTTTGTAGAGGTGCCAATTGCCTTTTAGAAAAATGCAGTAAGGAAATTTTATTGCTTTATTTTAGTATGCCCCTGTACGGATGGATTTAGGCTGGTATTTACGTGTGGGATCCATTTTCCGATGACTAAACAGATGAGACTGTTAGCTGCTCTGACAAGCTATGTTGTTGGAAGGTTGTTCAGTACTTCCTCCTTTCCTATAGGACACGGAGGAAGGGTGGTTTTCCCATAAACAATTTAATCATTAAATTCTAATTCATAAGCCAACATAACTTTCTTCCTCCTTCCTCATTTTTTTTCTGAAGGTAGATGCTACCTGACATCTGTTGAAGTTTTCCCCAGGGGTTCATATTTTCCATTCAATTTTGCTTGCATGACAATGCGAATCTCTTACACTTTAGTCTTTTGTTCTTTACTTCCAAATTAAGACAAAATACACATGCTATATTTAACCAGGTCCATTTAAAGTTATTTGCTCTGGAATTTTCACCTAGACAGTTAGCTTAGACAGCTTAAGAGCATTTACTATGCTGGCCATGAATCTTAAGGATAAGCGGGAGTGGAGAGGACAATATTTTTAGCTCTCTCTTCCTAGGAATGCTCAACTGAATAGAAATGAGGTTATTCCAGATATTAACCACTCTGTTCTCACTAAGTGGTTAATATATTTTGTCTTAAAAGAAATTTAAAAGATGACTAGACAACATGTTGATTCTCTCTGCTTGTGGAAAAGGTCTTTGTCAGATTTTAAAAAATCTTGAATATATAACAATGTATAGGACAGAGAAAGTTACTAAATGCTATAACAGGTTAATATTTTTAAACTTGGTAAGGTAAAACAGAGCTAGCCACATCTAAACTCATGCCAACAGGCATCTCAACAGTAGTTTCTAAGCTTTTATTAACAATGTGGCATATTTTAAATAATTTATTCTGCCTTAAAAAAAAAACTATAAATTATTAGATCTGTAATCTTGATTTAAACCTGAATACGTATTCACATTACAACAGACACTATTACTTAGCGTTCCATTGACCACACTGCAACAGCAAATGACAGAATAAACCTACTGATAAATGACAGCTTCAGGTTTTGTGTCTCCAGGTTGGAAGAGACCCTTTTAATAATCAAAGGAAAAGCTTCACCTTGTCATTGCCCCTGCATTATCTGTCTTGAGATTAGACTTCAGCATGCAGTACCACAAGCCTCTTTCAGCAAAAACCTATTAAACACTTTCAAACATTAAATGTTAACATCTACTTCATTTTTCCAGTCTTTCCCCACTTTCTCTTACATTCATTACCCACAATTACAACCCTATTTCCTAGAGATTGCTGTACTGTAACAGGAAACAATTCGGTCTATTTTCTTCCTCTATGATTACTAAATTAGAGTAATACAGAAATATTTCAATCTATGCTGATAAGAATACACTTTGAAAGCAAGAGGGCTAAGGCATGACACATTCTCACAATAATCTAAATCACATATTTTCTTTTGTAAAAAAACAGTATTTTTTTCATTTGTCTGATAGGAGGAAAGAATTAGTGATATAGCAAAATAGAAACTTGGAGAATGGGAAGTTAAATTTGATCAGTAAATAAAGCAAGTGTTACTTTTCAAGTAACTCAAGCCTGTCTATTTTATTTGAAAGCCATATATACATACACACATGCATGCACATTCTCACTGAATCAGGATCTAAGTTTACCTTTTTAAACAAAGCTTTTAACTTTGTGAAATTGGATAAAACGGAAAGCTCATCTTCTTATAAAAGAGATATATTAATCCAATAAAAAGTACTAAGGTATAAGTCACCACAACAATAGGAATTCATTTTTGGTTTTAATATTTTGATAGCATGTACTTGAAAGCAAAATTTTTGCTAAAGAGCACAACAAATTTTATTCCAGTGCCTAGTTAATCCTAAAGACTGATGAAGGGATAATCAGATCAGAAAGAGACAATAGAAAAGTGACTTTTCTATACGCTTAGCAGTGAATTTTTTAATCCCAACAGGAATGCAGAAACAAAGTCCTGGCTTCATTAGCAGCTCCAGAAGGCAAACGGCAAGGATACTACCTCAGCCAAAAAAAAAAAAAAATACTACACAGTATCTGTTTCACATAACTCCTCGGCCACTGAATGTAAGACCTTAAAGGCCTTTTGAATAACAGGTGACAATGAATAGTGATCATTGAAAACAGTGCCTTTCTCTTGCCCTCCAAGTTTCTAAGAAAAAATGCCTGGACAAGATCTCCATAGTAGAGAAAACAAAACTTGGGTAACAAGACTTTAAAAAAATGAAGGAAAAAAAAAAGGAGTAAGACCAAAACCATAGGTTTCTTCCTGCACATCAAAACCCAAACCCCCAGAATAAAATTTAGCAGTGAAGTAAATAGAAGCATTATTAAATGTCAGATTGATTTCTACTTTTTCAGAGAGCACCAGAGAAACCAGATACACTCCAGAAAGCTCAGACTTTACATTGATCACACACAAACAACTTTTTCAATTAGAAGATTAAGTACTGAACAAGAAGTTAGGAGACTTTTGGAAGTCTGGCATAGCTCTCTTAGATACAAGGAAAAGTCTATCAAAATTAGCATTTTTCTACACTAGCATCTTGTGGGAAAAAAAAATGACACCATCTAAGGATGGACATGGAAACATTCATAGTTAAAGGGAAAAGAAATGAAACAGTCAAGGAAATCAAATTTCCTGGATTCCTCAAGGACATCCTGTCAAATCTCTTCATTGAGATAAGGTTTTCTCAAGACACACAAAGTAAACTTTATATGATAAGCTTAAGCACAATCTAAGCAGCAGACTTCGCTTACTAAAGCTGCATTTATGTATCCCCATTATACAGTGAGTTGCAGAGATAACAAGATGTGCAAATTGGGCTGCAAATGATTTGTCCTATTTCAAAAAACAAACAAAAATCACAGAAGTGTTTGTTACATACTTAAAACCACCACTACACATGTGCTGTGCTCTATTTACTAGAGAAAACTTCCACTTTCTTTATAGGATACATAAGCAAACAAGCATACACGGGGACCAACAGCAGTAAAGAGGAAATGCTCTCCTTTTAATGTATGTTTATCTGGACGACTCAGATAAGAGTCATCGTAAAACTTTATTTTATAGTGAAGTTTCCTTTGAGAACGAACCTAATGTCTTCCCCGGAGCACCTTAAACAGGTTTAATCCTTCTTTAAAATCTAATGAACATCCTCATGAGTCCTTCTACTGTATTTACGTATAATGTAAAGAAGATCTACCAAAGTTTTAGTATATAAAGATGATTATACAGACTCCACAACTAGTGCGTTTTCATCCTTTCCTTTTAACAGCTACCTCTTGACTACTTAAGACTCAAGCTCTGAAACTTGCTAATCAGCCTCACAACAAAAAATAAGAAGCAAACCAGCATGTCTGCATGAAGATGATATGTGTAGAGACATTTCGTAGGGCGTTTATGTAGGGATTTTTTGCTTACATAGCTGTTTCTCATTTTGTGTGTGCACATCTTTTACATGAATTTGAAGGAGCCATAGTATTTGGCAGTCAAAGAGCTTATATGAGTAAAGACATATTAAAAAAAAAGAAAGAAAATCCAGCCACATGAAAATTTCCTAAACCAAATAAATACAAGATAATAGTTTTCAATTAACATATAATCGGCCAACACAACCAACTTCCAACTATCCTTGTAATACTTTTAGCAGTGCATCAAAGAGTTTGGTTATGTCAAAAATACTTCTATGCTCAGAGTTTGCTTAACAGTTGTTCCTAAGAAAAAGCTCATATGCACAATAAGTACTGGGAACACTTTCCTGAGCTGCCATATGAACCATACTACAATTATAGCCTCACTGTGCATTTTTGCATGGCCTAACCTCTGCAGTTGAAATAAGATACTCAACAATATCTGCCTTCTACTCCAACTTTGTACATTCTTTTTCTCTAAATCAGAATTGTTGCATTTTTCTCAAACTGCCATGCTATTATTTTTAAATAAGGTCAAGCCACCCTGATCCATCATTTTTATATTCTAAACACTAAACAATTTGATAATTTCAGTTTCTTATAATTAAATGAATAAATGATTACGTATAATACCTCCAAGTTCTTTTACATTCAAGATGGCATTCTGGAATGGCACTGCTTTTATGTTAAAACCTAAAAACAGAAATAAAGAATATTAGTATGTTATTTGTTAAAGAGGACATTTGAAATCAGTTGCATACAATCAGAAAAGCCTACCTTGTTCACCAGGATTTTGCATGAGAAAGTGTCAGAATAAATAAGATGGTTAAACTTAGCCACAGAATCACAGAATGCTTAAGGCTGGAAGGGACCTCTAGAGATCACCTAGTCCAACCCCCCTGCTCCAGCAGGGACACCTAGAGCACATGGCACAGGGTGTCATCCAGGCAGATTTGGAAGATCTCCAGAGAAGGAGACTCCACAACCTCTCTGGGCAGCCTGTTCCAGGGCTCTGTCACCCTCACAGGAAAGAAGTTCTTCCTCATATGGAGGTGGAACTTCCTGTGTTTCAACTTACACCCGTTACCCCTCGTCCTGTCATTGGCCACCACGGAGAAGAGCCTGGCCCCATCCTCCCTACAATCACCCCTCAGGTATTTGAACATGTTGGTCAAGTCTCCTCTCAGCCTTCTCTTCTCCAGACTAAACAGGCCCAGCTCGCTTAGTCTTTCCTCATAAGATAGATGCTCCAGTCCCTTAATCATCTTCGTGGCTCTCCACTGAACCCTCTCTAGAAGCTCCATGTCCTTCTTGCACTGGGGAGCCCAGAACTGCCCACAATACTCCAGGTGCGGCCTCACCAGAGC